GGGGATGATACAAACTACACAGAACTATTCTGTAGGGTACGGGGATGAAACAGAACGCACAGAATAATCCTGTAGGGTACGGGGATGATACAGAACTCTCTGTGCCTCTCTGTAGGGTAATAACAGAGGGTAATTACCCCCGGTATAGGTCTGTGAGTACCCTACAGAACCCGCCCTTGCACAGTTCCCCGAGCAGCAAATAATACTCCGAGTAAATAATAGTAGCGATATCTTACCTATAGGGTAACAGGTTCAAGATAATTAGGTGGCCATCTTCTTTACAATGTATCTGAATACATTTGACTATAATATGTTACGGTGGGGAGGTGTGGAGGAAGATCACGTTGGGAGGATGTTGGGCGGACGGGTAGTAGTTGGTTTTCTTTTTCTGTACCAGATGCTTCGTGTCTGTTTGTGCTGGAGACTGCATCATCTGCCAATAATAGTCAATCTGCCGAAAATGAATTGAAGGATAATTTGTTGTGTCGGCAAGGAGATTGGATCTATTTGGTTGGATTATTGTGTTGGATCCAGATCGTTCTCTCGCTGCGGAAGGGTTGGTGTTGTTTTGGTCTGCGAACGAACTTGGCTTGCCGTGATGACCCTGCCCAGTGCACCCGCCCCTCCCAGGCAACGGACCTCCGCGGTCACAGACTGGCTGGGTAAACCGACTTGACTGTAAACTGCAGGAAACTACAGTAGTGTATAGGAATAATATACAAAAATGCAATAAAACAAGAACACTGCTGCTGTTGTTGTAGGCTGTGCTCTTTCCGCTCCCCGAACCCAGAAATCTCTGTGCTCTGTGCACTGGAGCACTGGTTCTGGACACGTCATTGTCATCAGTGAGGAGGAACTTCGGTTCATGATCTTGATGGCCGACGGCTGTCTGTCCGCCCTCGCCCCTCTCAGCTCACTTCCTTTCACTACTTCTGTCTCTGGTTCCACCAGACATGTCCGACTGTCCAGTGGCACGTGGTTCTACAAGTGCCCCACTTTCATAGTCGTTGCTCTACGTGAGGACAACTTGCTCATCGCAAGAGAAGAGAGCTCGTGACTCTCCGTCGACTGCGCTCCAGACCAAATCCCATAGATCATCCGTTTGGAATTTTGAATTTTTATTTTTTGGTCAAGTGTGTCCAGTGCCCGTGCTCCAGTGCACAGAGCACAGAGATTTTTGGGTCCGGGGAGCGCAAAGAACACAGCCTACAACAATAGCAGCAGTGTTTGGGGCGAAAGGTTTTTGATGCGGCCCTGCAGTTGGAGGTGGAGTTCCTGGTTGATGATTTCAGTCATCCGCTGCCGTGTGCCTTCGATCCCTGAAGCAAGTTGGTCCGAAGAAGTAAGTGTTGACAGGTTGCTCCGAAGACATGTTGGGTGACTCCGAGGCTGAGCCGTCGTCGCCTGCAGCGGAGGCTGTTTCTTCGGCCGTGCCGGCTGCGGCATCGCCTGCACCACCGCCTTCGGCTTCGGCTGCGATGTCATTATTTACAACAGCTCTTTCGGCGTTCAGGTCACAGTACAGGGCCTGCTCTTTTCGCATTGCTCTCCCGACATACAAAGACTGGCTCTAGACAAGATCTTTGTCAACTGCGACTGACGCCAATATGGGATTCGGTCTAGTCTAGATCGCAGTCGACGGAGAGTCACGAGCTCTCTACTCTTGCGATGAGCAAGTTGTCCTCACGTAGAGCAACGACTATGAAAGTGGGGCACTTGTAGAACCACGTGCCGCTGGACAGTCGGACAGGTCTGGTGGAACCAGAGACAGAGAGAGGTAGTGAAAGGAAGTGAGCTGAGAGGGGCGAGGGCGGACAGACAGAGCCATCGGCCATCAAGAAGATCATGAACCGAAGTTCGTCCTCACTGATGACAATGACGTGTGGGTGCGTCCAGTTGGAGGGACTCTCCGACTGACGTATGGACGTTTACAGACAGACATGAAAGGAGGCGTGTTGGTTCAGGAGACCCAAGTCCCACAGATCCGTGAAAAAAGAAAGAGAGCCGTGGGGCAGAGCACCCACACGTAGGTCAATAATTGTGTTGGACCGGAAGAGTACAAAAAAAACGTCGAAGTTGTATAGGGATAGAGCCGGGTAGATGCAGTCTCCCACCAATCACATGTCGACTATGCAGGGCAGTTTGTAGGACAGAGGCAGATGATTGGTTGATGGCCACGCCGCCGAGCGGGAATCCCCTGAATAAGACGTTGCACACCACCACCAGCAGAACATGACACACGTAGACAACACACGAGACAACCATAATGGGCAGTACAGCCAAGCATAGCAGCACACGAGACTGCCGTGGACCAAGGGCAGCCAAAGGCACACATAACAGGAGGTCTGGTTCGACTGTCAGAGCCGGTTGGCTGCTGTCGGCAGCACCACACAAGCGAGGGAGACGACACAGGTCAAATCTGCTGCTGCTGCTGCTTGCTGCTGCTGCAGAAGAACGCCGATCTTTTGAGCTTGCTACACAGCAGTGGTGCATCCCTAACCCTTACCCAATGAGATGTACAAACTGCTGCAGGCCAAGGCGGCCAAAGGAACACATCATACGAAGCATCGAGAACCATTTGAGCCCGTTGTCTGTTGCTAGCGGCGTATAAGCGAGCGAAGCAAGCAGTGCACACAAGTGAATCAATCTGCGGCGGCTCTCTTGCCCCAGTGGTCTGTCTGCAGGCGGATCTTCTCTTCATCCACAACAGACCCGCCAGAAAACAGAGAGACGATGAGATGTACACATGCTGCCGGCCAAGGCGACCAAAAACACACACACATAGAGGGCGTCGGGGGCGATTTTTGGAGCCCGTTGCCTCTGCTACGAGCGTAAGTGGTGCATATCCACAAAGCGACAGCAGCAGCAGCAGCAGCAGCAGCTGAAGATTCATGAGAGCTTCGTCCACACCACGCAACACTTTCACTCTTCCCCGCGCTGCTAAACAGCAGCAATGCTGCGTACACGGCTGACTGGTGGTGTTGGGTGAGGTGTGAGCGTTTGCAGTAGCAGTGGTGGCCTCTCTGTGAGGCTCCATCCATATATAGTCTATCTATCTTCGCCTGCGGCTCTTTCTCTGCCCGTTTTCGCGCTTCCCGCGAAAAAAAAAAAAAAGTTGGACCGACCCTCCCGCGGGACTGTCATCATGGACGGTTTCGTTACGTAAAAATCTGGTTGCAGGTGCATGTCGACTGAATGTCGACATTTCGATTTGCACTCTGCTCCAGGGGCAAGTCCACCGAAATGGGCAGGAAAAATGCCATGAAAGGGCTGCCGGCAAGCGTAAAAGGGCCAGCTTTCGTGGTGGAATCGCCGCTTCTGGAGGAGGCAGAATGGTTCGGCGATGCTGCTGCACAGGCCATGATGGCTGATGGTACAGCTCCTGGCGATGCGGCGGTCGTTCCAGCAGTAGGAACGACGGAAGTTTTTGGTGCTGTCGACAGTGCAAGCCTCAAGCGAAGACGAAAACGAGTGGTCGGTGATGATGAGGAGAATACTAGGGCCAGCAGTACCGTGCATGGTTCTTCGCCGAAAAGAAAGGTAGGAATGTAGAGCATCCGTCCCGGCGGTGCGTAAGATACCATACCCCCTGTGCCGAATTTCAAAGCTTGGTTGCCTCTGCGCACAACAGTGATGGTGCAGACGATGGCAACGTGGCATTCATCTCTTGGAAGTGGTATCAAAAACGTACCATTTGATGTTGGCTCCCTATTCGTCGTGGAGTATACCGCAGAGCTTATCAT